AAAAAAAAGGGAAATCCTAAGAAGCAGATGCAACTTGTTGTTTAGGACTCCTGTTACTGTCATGTTTCTGATGCAGATGTCAGAATGAGCTATAAGGATGATTCAAGGACAATTCCCCAGGATGAGGGATAGGCTTTGATTGGAGGAGAATTATCCTCCACTTGCTTAAGAACTTGTATAACTACCAGTGTACTACTAGCACCATAGGGCACAAGAATCAGATCTTGACAGCCTTCATGAAGACACTGCTACTAGTAGTGAGACCCGACRGGATGGAGTACTAGCTGCACCATCTTGAGAGTTTGGCTCCAGGGTACTTCCAACCAAGAAGAGAATTATCTCCAGTTGGAAATCATATATTCTTTGAATAAACCCAATGGTCAATGTCTTGTTCATGAGTTGTCTGTAGTTAGCTAGTTTTAGAGAGGAGAATTATCAGTCATCAAGATACAAAATTGATTACTAGTTGTTGAGGTATTATATCAAAATGTCAATGACACAGCATAATGCTGATGCAATGACATGCTGACAACCAATCATGGCCCACCCCTCCTTTTCACAGACTCGTTCACACTGTCCCATGCTTACTTCTTGCTTTGATCCCATGGTTGCTCCAATRTATTTGACAAACAAGAAGGAACATTGGCTGGGATAGTTCTGTTTTAGTGAGGTATTGATTTTTTATGAGGACAACTCAGTACTGCTGGTGAAGCTAGTACTACTAGTAGTAAGAGCAAAAACAAGTCATGTGCATCGTCATGTTCCGATTACTAACACAGAGTCATTGGCACACAAGAAAACACAGAGCAATGAAATTGTATCATACTATCACAAAATACTGAAATGAAGATAAGAAGTTCTTGATGATACCATTGAAGTATACTGTAGTAATGTATTCTGTAATGTTGTTGTTGTTGTTGTTGTTGTTGTTGTTGTACGCACTGCTACGAAGTAACGTACAGTATCGTACGAGTACTTCGTAGGACCCTAACAGTTTCCAGTCATCTTTTTTCTTAGCTTCACATAGATACACGCTCCGCTCCATTCGGTTCGATTCCAACACACTGCTACAATGGCATCCCAAGCCAGCACAACAAACAAAGATGGCGAGATCATCGACGGGGACGGGGACAACGGCATCCTCCTGCAGCAAACGCTAATGAGCCACGACGAGTGCTTCGTCTACAAGGTCCCTCCGCTGGCGGTAGCCAGCGGTGGATACAAGGCGAACGATTGGAACCTAGCAAATCCGTTGCAAACGTGTGGCTTTCGGGTGGAACGCCGGAACAACCAACTGTTTTTGTTGTTCACCCTAGAGAACCACACGAAACTCTTTTGCTTGTGCAAAATCKAGGGGAACGACGCTCGTTTGTCGATCGAACCCGTGACGGACTCGTCGAGGTACTTTGTCTGCAAGATCGTAAGCAACAGCAACAACAGCGCGCAAAAACAACCCCGCACTATGACCCTCGGGTTCGGGTTCCGGGAGCGAGACATCGCTCTGGACCTCCTGGGGAGCCTCCAGCAATTCAAGCAATCCATCGAGAGGGAACTGAAGGCCAAGGAACTTGCTTCCAAGACGAAGGCCATCAAGGTTCTGAAGGACGGAGAGAAGATGCACATTAGCATTCCTGGCAAGACCTCGTCCGGTGGGAGGAAGAGCAAGAGTAGCAGCAGCGGTGGTGGTGGTAACAGAAACGGGGGCGGGCCCTTTTTGCTCAGGAAMCCMCCCCCGGGCGCCGAACAAGCCACGGCATCGGCGCAACCTCCCCGGCCGCAGGCCGCACCTCTCGGTGGCACTCCCCGAAACGACGAATACAACAACCGGCGATTCAGCATGACCGACATGGAGTGTCCGCTCAAGGAAATGACCATTTCCACGGATAACGACGACGGGGACAACAATTCCGAGGTTGCCGTCGGGAATCGTAGCACGGCTGGCGACTTGGACTACTACAGCACCGACGACGACGGAGAGGCAAACGATCGAGGAGAGGGTGCGGAAGGACCCGGAACYGAGGGCGCCAAGAGCAAGATTGAGGACGGGGACGACGGCTTTCAAGAATCGGTGGGTGCGGTGGGCGGTGGAGCCAGCACCGTTGATGACACCGACGACGACGATGATGTCGGACACGAACACGAAAACGACGACGACAGCTTTCAGTTCAGTGATTTGAACCTCGACGATCTCGACGACGACGACGACGACAACGATGGCAGTGGCAAGGGCGCCACAGAAAATAGGAACAACAACCCGAATGATGACGACGACGACGACGACGACGACGACGATTTTGGTGATTTCCAAGGAGCATAGAATAGCGCGGCGCAGTGCAATGCGACCAACAAACAAGTACGACGCAATGTATTTGTTGTGTTGTGTCGTGTTGTGTCGTGTGGTGCCGCGCTGCCGTAGGCTACAAAAATCGACTGCAGCAATACCAGTCTGGCGCTGTCGTTGAATCTACGGCGTTTGCAACGAGCAGTTTCCAGAACCCAATCACCAAACTATAACAACTAAAGCATTGATGAGATTTCGTTGGTTCACAGAGTGGCGGATAGTACGTACTTGATTGCACGGGCTGCTTTTGAATGGATGCAATTTGTCTCTAACGAAATGACGAAYACTAGTATTGCCACAGAAAAAAGTAGCTTGCAATAATTTTTGAATTGAATGATTTTACAGTATATTACAACCCCATCTCCATCCGAGACTATGAGGTTGGGATTCGAATCACCATTTGACGGGTTTCATGGCAGTCCATCTATTTCGGTTCACTCGAAAAAATGGAATAGCAGCGATCATTCTTTGATCACTCCACCGCGCTCGAGAGCGCAATATTCCCTTGGCTGCCGGCATTCATTGGTTATGAAATAAACATGCTAGTCCCATTTTTTGTACGTTTTGAAAGTTTCTCATCCTTGAGAGTCCCCGACTTCTTGGCGACCTTCTTGATGTGTTTCGTCTTGTGCCGGGCTGGTCGCTGTTGGATATTTGAAAAATACTCAACGAATTCTTTATCTTCGAACAGAGCCACAACATCGAGCTGGCACATCTTGATGGTATTATCATAGGTCCCACCACCGACATATTCGTCRAATGCACGGTCGTGCTCTTCTTTGGTTTGAGCCAGCCACAAGAGATCGTCCTGTTCTATTGTGTCGTCTTTAGCAGCCTCGTGTTGGAAAAAGATTGAACGGTCTCTCGGCATAGACGACGCAAACAATGAGTCGTTTGCGGTAGTATTCCCGTTTAAGGTGTGCCGGTACTTGGTAAGCAGAGCCATTTGGACCAAAAACTTCCACGAGACGGACTTGTATTTCGCTGCAAGGTTTGAGTCCATGCACACCTTGAATGTCTGGGCCCGGTTCGGGTTTAGCGGGTCATGGAACCACTCATCAATCGCATTGTACAGATCCCACTCGGGACGGCCACTCTGGTAAAGCTCCAGGGATGTTTTTGTGTTACGGAATACAACCCGGGCGTGCTGCGTGATGCGGTGCATGTCGGGGAAAGTGATTCTTCTGTCTGCCTTTGATGTGCGAAAAGTCTCGGCCTGCATCTCTGGAAAATTTCGGGTTTCCGTGTTTGTGTTTGTGTTCGTATTGTCTTGCATCAAAAGATGCATGCAGGTTTTGTCGGCAGATGGGAGGGCCTGGCAGACAAAGTTGGTAACAACGCTTTTCTTGTGGCCGACGGTGTCGAGAATGCTTTCGGCGCTGACCACTTCTTGATGGAGAACATCGAATACGTCAACAGCATCGGAAAGTTCAGGCCGCGTCATGAACTTGAGGTAGGCCCACACGGATCCGTGGATTCCGTTCAAGACCTGTTTGAATTGTTTGAACCTGGTCCCCTTGACTTGCGCGTACAGCGGATTATCATTGTTCCTGGTCACGGTTGCGCTGGGGTTGCTTACTTCCGACGAAGCTTCAACGACATTGTGGTCGTATTGGACGACGAAGTCCAGGCTAGATTCAATAAACTCGATTAGTCCGGGGATATATGCGTTGGCATATTCCCTAGGATTGCCGTCAGGATCGGCAAAAAGGTAGGGATACTTGAGATAATCACGGTAGTACATGGAGGGAAGCCACCGGAATAGGTGATCGTAACCAACGACCACCTTGACCCGAAAGCCATCGTTCGCGCTTGTGGTCTGATTTTTCTTCAAAAAAATTCCTTCGAACAATTTATCCCAGTCTAACCCATCAGCATGCGTATACATATCGTTCGATATAACGACATTGTGTCCGTTTCTCAAGTGGCCCTCCAGGGCCTGCGAAAATTCTTCAAAATTGGATTGCATAGCCGATTCATGATTACTAGGAAAGGTGTCGGCGTTGCGATAGACCTTAAACTCGGTGTCAACTCCCACGTTCACGTCCACTCTGGACGACTGTATCCCTCCCACAAAGTAAACGTTATCATCCAATGCCAACTTCTCGGCTACCTCGAGCAATCCTTTCTTGATAGTCGTGGTGGCAGTTTTTGGTGGCCCAACATGTACGACCATCCAGGGGCGAGAACCTGTGGGTGCTGTCATCGTTGTTGCTTCTGCTCGCTCTTGGGTTGCACCATGTAAAGACACGACGCTTGTCTCGTGCTCGGTARTGTTCGAGACCAGAACTTTGCACATTATCATGATGGCAACGTATGGAAAGAACAAAATCACCCTATACATCAGTTCTTTGACACTGTTTTTCTCAAATGCAACTCTTTGTTCTCGTCTGTGATGTCCAGGGATTTGTTTTTTTGGAGAGATATTCGAAGGTGTTCCGGGCGGATCGCTGGGTGGATCCCTTGTCAGAACTCGAGGCCTCAGAAGTGCCCGACTACTCATTGGTTCTTCAATGTCGGTTTTGTATTCGACGGTGGGGTCTTGCTGACAAGTATTCGGCATTACAGAACAGAAACTTGAGTCAATTGTGATCTGGTCTGTTACAACTCTGGTACAAGTAGTAAGAGCACAGAAATGATTTTTTAAAGTGTTACTGTATGTCAAAGCTCAAAGAATAGACGTTCTTTTGCTTGAGTTCACTGGTACCGGTACGATGTAGTTGCAGTTGCTGTCTTATCAGCATCTTTTTTAATTCCGCGAGAGGATTCATGGTCTTCTCGTCTTGTTACTGCCGTAACGTTRCGTAGTACTCGTACGTAGAGGAAAAAAATGCAGAACGAGTTCCAGGCAGGGTAGTGAGTACGAGTTCTGTACGAGTAGTACCGGTATATATATTTGCATTACAGAAAACGTTATCGTAGTACAAAAGTTTCAGAAATTTTCGACGGAAATTGCGCGCTTAAAATACGAGTACCAAAAATTATCACTGGTAAGCAATACTTAAACCTTGTCTTCAGAGGACATACAGATACAATACCAATCGTAATATTACAGTACATGCAAAATTTTCAAATTTTCAAATGACTGTACGAAGCTCTGTGGCCGGAATGATCCACAATTTTACTATGAGGGATTTTTGGTCGCAATAATTTTCTTCGAAATTTTGCACGACCAGAAAACATTATTTAGATTAGGGCGCAACAAGTCGAAAACTCATACTGTATTACTACGGT